TTGACTTCGAATACGGTTGAGTTCACTCCTGTTCAGTACCGATGTTGGGCCGCGCAGGGCGGCTTTATTTGGCGCAGCGCCAGCTTGTTTTCAACTGATTGTTGTTGCTTGCTCGTCTCAATAATTGGTGGAGAACAGGTCGGTGTGACGCCAAATCCAACCCTTGACACGCCCCGGCATGCACAGCGAATAAGATTGTATACGCCACTCCCTCGCTTAGACGGCGCAGATAGGCGGACACGACGCAACAGCCGTGGCGTCCCTCCCTCACTTCTATAATTATTGCCTCTAAAAATTAATTTATTAGTAGATGCGTACGGTCGTGGAATCTCAGAGTTTTTCTGAGGTAAGAATACTTGCTTCAGTTACGCGATCGTCGAAAGTGGAGTGAAAAAATGTCGAACGCCCTCGATCATTTCGCAGTAAGTGATGAAGGCTCTGCTATCAGAGTGGCTCTACCTATAGGCGAAGACATAGTTTGGATTCGTTTCTCAAAGGTACGTTCCTTTATTTTCCTTTTGATATCACCATGAGTATTTCGATGTATAGGGCTTTCGTGAGGAATCCCGCGTTTTTCACTGTTCCACTCTATCTGGTCATTTGTCACGTGTTAATGCTTGCGTCTACAGAAAGGGCTCTCAGCAAGTGGGTACCTTTTTTGGAATTAGGCTGTGCATTGAAGATGAGTTTTTTGCAATTTTTCAGCTATATTCTGCGGGGGCTGATCGTAATGTACTCTGCTGGGCTCCAGAAAGTGAAAGGAATCGTCTTCATCTGGAAGCTGAGACAGCTAAAGCAACTGCCCTGTCGAGCGATTGGAGTGATGACGATTGATTCCGGAAGAGCCGCAGCTCGTGTTGGGATTTTCCGTCGGGATACGTTTCACCGGACGATGTGATGCTATCACTGGAATCAGACGAATGATAGAACAACAGTGAACTGGAGGAGCTCTCGTGAGCAGCAGAGCTCAATGTACACTGACGATCTTTTCATAAGTGGTACTAACTTTTACATCTAGCATCTTGTGCGTTATAATAATGATACTTGCGCTATTGTAAGGCTCCTAACTTGTGGGTGTATAACATTGCGGGGAATCATGCACGTTCACCCTGGGAAAGAATCGTTGGGCTACGAAGTACCAAATTAGTGAATACTTAAGTGTTCAGTGACCAGTGATATTCCGCAGCAGGCGAATTGTACCCTCGTTGGAGTGACTGGCACGTATCTGATCTCAGAGCATTTGTATCTTTTGGCATTCTAAGCACTTGTACTTTGGTTCGCTGCAGATGAAGAGCGAAGAGGCGTGTCAGGTAGAGTACGTCACGGCGCTACTGCATCTCTCTGCCTAGTTGTTGGAGGCGGAGTATGCGACCAGAAGTTTGATAGATAAACGCGTGATACGAGCGAACATGATACAGTCTTGTTACTGGCTGGTTACAACTAGTGGAGAATGAGTTTGGAACTGCGCCAAACTCATCCCGCATGACACCCCCTTTCGTCCGGAGCGAACTAGTGCATACGTTTTTACGAAAACTTGATTATTTGCGGTTATGTTTGTTAGAGCTTGCTTGTGGAGTATTTCTAGTTGGTTTCCAAAGAACTAATCGGGTATAATCGGGTCTCTATGGCCCTGCTCACCTTCTTAACTACCCTTTTGTAGTCAACATCTCAGAGGTTATGCCTATCTGTAACCTGCCATGTATCGTCAATCGCTTGCATATCGTTTTAAATTATAATACTAACTTCAGAGAATTTCCTAACGTGCTTCTCTCGTGCGTGTTCGGCCGCGTTTATACTTTCATACGTTCGTACGACAGCGGCGATTCCTATATCGTACGACTGGAGCGCTCCGGCACCACTCCTTGGCCCACAAGCTGCACAATAACATCCTTTTTATCTGTATTTTTCAACGAGCAGTGCCAATGGTTTACCTATAAACAGCGGAGCGATGTCAGTCGCAGTCGCACGATCCCTAAAACGATAGTCGTTGGTGTACGAACCCAGCCTTCCGTTCATCTCTCTTACTATGTGGCATTGTTAAATCAAACCAGAGCTCATCATACGTTGTCTCAAGTACAACAGAGGCTAGCATTTGGATGCTGGTACAGAGGGGTCCTACTTTGTGTTGGAAGAACCTGGTCGTTGAGTTTTTCCATTTCATGGGCGCTGCATAGTAGGTTCACCTTGATTTCCAGAGCTGGGGTAAGGATACCATTTTTCTGTTCATCCATAGAGACTAACCAGCTCCCTCCACCCTCCAGCTCTAAGATTGGGGAATGGTTGGTAAGATGATAAAGGCTTTTCACGAAAAAAAATACCACAACGTGATGACGGGCCTTGCAGGCACCTCTTCCTGACCACCGCTTGGTTGGCCTTTTGATTTGTTCTTTGTTGTTAATCAAGAGTTTCGTTATAAAGTGTAATGTGCTATCCTTTCCTTTCCAATACCGTGGAAAGTTCGACATAAAAACGACGCATTAGAATTCATGCTTCATACGAAACTATTTTGTTATAAAGTGTAAAGTGCTATCCTTTACTTTCAATACCGTGGAAAGTTCGACAACGGAACTAGTCCTCCAAGAAAATTGTGGCGCAGGAGAGGGATACACTCC